AAAGAAGTAAAAAGTCATGAATACCAAAACGTGACGTATCGTCAGTGTAGATAATTTACAACGAGAAGGGGAATAAAGGAGGAAGAGGGAAATATGTATTTAAACTTAATTTATTAATAAAAAAAAAGAAAAAATACACAAACATTTTTGTAAAAAAAGTAAGTATGGAGTATTGTTTTTGATCGATATTTTCTAAAACCTCGCCCCTGCTTTTTTAACTTAAATTTACAGTAGTGGCTAAATTACCGCCACCGCCATCCGTCAACTGCCTTCAATTTCGATACCTTATTAAAAATTTATAATCCACCGATGACATTCATAGAGTTATATTTTATCAATTTTCCGCACGTGTTTGGGCAACTTTCAATAACCTCTTAAGAACCGTAAAAAACGAAAAAAAAAATCGGGGTTCCGGTTCTCACTAAAGTTTCCATTTCTGAAGCAATTACGGTTTCGGTTCGGTTTTCGGTCCTGAACGAAATACCGGTTTCAGTCCGGTTTTCGGTTCTTTCTTGGTCCGGTCCGGGTCTCTGGACAAACTCCGCCCTAAGAACCCTTCGGTAGGGAAATCCGATTGCCCTGTGACTTGAAATTCGGTATTAGGCTCGGAGAAGCGGAAGTACACAATATGTTGGAGATGAGACATTTTGGCGACACCGATACGTAGATACACCGAGACAACTAGCCTTCTGGAGGCAAAAGTTGAGAAGTATATTTTCCAGAAGCGAGCTTTCTACACATAATACTCCTTAAATATCGTTAATAGAACCCAGAGCTGGGCAGTATTCGATTTTGTAAATACTTTTTAGTATTCAAATCCTTTAAAGTATTCAAATACATGGTAATTAAATACTTTTATGGAAGCAGTATTTGTATATGTAACTCAAAAACTTTCACAAATATTTAGTATTCGAATACTTCGCATAGTATTTGAATCCTTAACCTTCCTGTTTTACCAAAAATCGACTACACCAAAATTTCTCGGGAAAACACTTTTTCTTATTAATTTTGGTGCGTAGAATCCAAAACAATTCGTACTTTTTCGATCAGACTTCTCAATCAAAAGTTATAGACTAGAAACCAATTTCGAAAAAAAATTCAAAGGGCTGTAACTTTTGAACTAGTAGCCCAATCTTGGAACTGTTTGAAATTATGGATTCTACAGGCCACATTCTATAAGAAAATTTTTTTTCCGGGTCGATCTGAGACAATTTTTTTTTCGGGGCTCAAAAAAAGGCAGTGTATAACCTTCCTTTTTTACCAAAAATCGACTACACCAAAATTTCTCGGGAAAACACTTTTTCTTATTAATTTGGGTGCGTAGAATCCAAATCAATTCGTACTTTTTCGATCAGACTTCTCAATCAAAAGTTATAGACTAGAAACCAATTTCGAAAAAAAATTCAAAGGGCTGTAACTTTTGAACTAGTAGCCCAATCTTGGAACTGTTTGAAATTATGGATTCTACAGGCCACATTCTATAAGAACATTTTTTTTCCGGGTCGATCTGAGACAATTTTTTTTCGGGGCTCAAAAAAAGGCAGTGTATAACCTTCCTTTTTTACCAAAAATCGACTGCACTAAAATTTCTCGGGAAAACACTTTTTCTTATTAATTTTGGTGCGTAGAATCCAAAACAATTCGTACTTTTTCGATCAGACTTCTCAATCAAAAGTTATGACTAGAAACCAATTTCGAAAAAAAATTCAAAGGGCTGTAACTTTTGAACTAGTAGCCCAATCTTGGAACTGTTTGAAATTATGGATTCTACAGGCCACATTTTATAAGAAAATTTTTTTCCGGGTCGATCTGAGACAATTTTTATTTCGGGGTTCAAAAAAAGGCAGTGTATAACCTTCCTTTTTTACCAAAAATTGACTGCACCAAAACTTCTCGGGAAAACACTTTTTCTTATTAATTTGGGTGCGTAGAATCCAAATCAATTCGTACTTTTTCGATCAGACTTCTCAATCAAAAGTTATAGACTAGAAACCAAATTCGAAAAAAAATTCAAAGGGCTGTAACTTTTGAACTAGTAGCCCAATCTTGGAACTGTTTGAAATTATGGATTCTACAGGCCACATTCTATAAGACATTTTTTTTCCGGGTCGATCTTGAGACAATTTTTTTCTCGGGGCTCAAAAAAAGGCAGTGTATAACCTTCCTTTTTTACCAAAAATCGACTGCACCAAAATTTCTCGGGAAAACACTTTTCTTATTAATTTTGGTGCGTAGAATCCAAAACAATTCGTACTTTTTCGATCAGACTTCTCAATCAAAAGTTATAGACTAGAAAACCAATTTCGAAAAAAAATTCAAAGGGCTGTAACTTTTGAACTAGTAGCCCAATCTTGGAACTGTTTGAAATTATGGATTCTACAGGCCACGTTCTATAAGAACATTTTTTTCCGGGTCGATCTGAGACAATTTTTTTTTCGGGGCAAAAAAAAGGCAGTGTATAACCTTCCTTTTTTCCAAAAATCGACTGCACCAAAATTTCTCGGGAAAACACTTTTTCTTATTAATTTTGGTGCGTAGAATCCAAAACAATTCGTACTTTTTCGATCAGACTTCTCAATCAAAGTTATAGACTAGAAACCAATTTCGAAAAAAAATTCAAAGGGCTGTAACTTTTGAACTAGTAGCCCAATCTTGGAACTGTTTGAAATTATGGATTCTACAGGCCACATTCTATAAGAAATTTTTTTTCCTGGTCGATCTGAGACAATTTTTTCTTCGGGCCTCAAAAGAAGGCAGTGTACAACCTTCCTTTTTTACCAAAAATCGACTACACCAAAATTTCTCGGGAAAACACTTTTTCTTATTAATTTTGGTGCGTAGAATCCAAAACAATTCGTACTTTTTCGTTCAGACTTCTCAATCAAAAGTTATAGACTAGAAACCAATTTCGAAAGAAAATTCAAAGGGCTGTAACTTTTGAACTAGTAGCCCAATCTTGGAACTGTTGAAATTATGGATTCTACAGGCCACATTCTATAAGAAAATTTTTTTTCCGGGTCGATCTGAGACAATTTTTTTTTCGGGGCTCAAAAAAGGCAGTGTATAACCTTCCTTTTTTACCAAAAATCGACTGCACCAAAATTTCTCGGGAAAACACTTTTTCTTATTAATTTTGGTGCGTAGAATCCAAAACAATTCGTACTTTTTCGATTAGACTTTTCAATCAAAAGTTATGGACTAGAAACCAATTTCGAAAGAAAATTCAAAGGGCTGTAACTTTTGAACTAGTAGCCCAATCTTGGAACTGCTTGAAATTATGGATTCTACAGGCCACATTCTATAAGAAAATTTTTTTTCCGGGTCGATCTGAGACAATTTTTTTTTCGGTGCTCAAAAAAAGGCAGTGTATAACCTTCCTTTTTTACCAAAAATCGACTGCACCAAAATTTCTCGGGAAAACACTTTTTATTATTAATTTTGGTGCGTAAAATCCAAAACAATTCGTACTTTTTCGATCAGACTTCTCAATCAAAAGTTATAGACTAGAAACCAATTTCGAAAGAAAATTCAAAGGGTTGTAACTTTTGAACTAGTAGCCCAATCTTGGAACTGTTTGAAATTATGGATTCTACAGGCCACATTCTATAAGAAATTTTTTTTTCCGAATCGATCTGAGACAATTTTTTTCTCGGGCCACAAAAAAAAGGCAGTGTATAACCTTCCTTTTTTACCAAAAATCGACTGCACCAAAATTTCGCGGGAAAACACTTTTTCTTATTAATTTTGGTGCGTAGAATCCAAAACAATTCGTACTTTTTCGATCAAACTTCTCAATCAAAAGTTATAGACTAGAAACCAATTTCGAAAGAAAATTCAAAGGGCTGTAACTTTTGAACTAGTAGCCCAATCTTGGAACTGTTTGAAATTATGGATTCTACAGGCCAAATTCTATAAGAAAATTTTTTTCCGGGTCGATCTGAGACAATTTTTTTTCGGGGCTCAAAAAAAGGCAGTGTATAACCTTCTTTTTTACCAAAAATCGACTACACCAAAATTTCTCGGGAAAACACTTTTTCTTATTAATTTTGGTGCGTAGAATCCAAAACAATTCGTACTTTTTCGATCAGACTTCTCAATCAAAAGTTATAGACTAGAAACCAATTTCGAAAGAAAATTCAAAGGGCTATAACTTTTGAACTAGTAGCCCAATCTTGAAACTGTTTGAAATTATGGATTCTACAGGCCACATTCTATAAGAAAATTTTTTTCCGGGTCGATCTGAGACAATTTTTTTTCGGGGCTCAAAAAAAGGCAGTGTATAACCTTCCTTTTTTACCAAAAATCGACTGCACCAAAATTTCTCGGGAAAACACTTTTTCTTATTAATTTTTGTGCGTAGAATCCAAAACAATTCGTACTTTTTCGATCAGACTTCTCAATCAAAAGTTATAGACTAGAAACCAATTTCGGAAAAAAATTCAAAGGGCTGTAACTTTTGAACTAGTAGCCCAATCTTGGAACTGTTTGAAATTATGGATTCTACAGGCCACATTCTATAAGAAATTTTATTTTTAAATTTTTAATATATTTGAGTGACAAGTATTTGAATACTTTTTACTGTATTCGAATACTTTTTATAGTATTCGAATACCTTTGAAAGTATTCGAATACATTCTAAAGTATTTGAATACTTTTCAATGTATTCTGCCCAGCTCTGGTCCATTACGGAATCGATCAATATGCCGTTGGAAAGTAGCTGGCGCGTTTAGGAGTCCAAACGACATGCTCGTTAACAGAAAACGAACGACGTCTTATCGTGATCGAGCTCATTGTCGCTGCGATAACCAAAAATGGTACGTTTATGCAAAAGATTCATGACTGATTTCGGCTAAATTTTTGTAGTCAATGCATAAAAGACAATGTTCTATATGAAGGAACCCCCGGAATGGAGCTTTTATTTTAATGGAAAATGGCGACACACACTGTATCAGTTGAAACGAGTTAGAATATCCACTGCCATTGGTAGTGGCTGTTGTACTTTAACCAGTTGGTGAAATAAAACATAACCTCTACAGTTTAAATGTGTAATCCTATCACCTTTTGTTGTAGCATTGAATCATAAGATTTATTATTCAATGGTTGTAGTTAATAATGGATGCTTTCGATATTTTTAAAAAATTGACCCAAGGCGCTCGGTTTAAACGAAATTCCACTCGCAGCGAAAACCCTGCGAGTACTTTTACCTACAAAACTGCATTGCCCGAAAAAGTAAAGCTAGAGGATGCAGAACAGAGTCAGGCCCAGCCTGAGAGTGATGAAGGTGTGGATGTGGACGAAAAGGCACTGACCTTACTGGGTACCATAACGTCGGACAAGCCTAAACTGAAACGTAAGAAGCCAAGTAAACTCAGCAACGAGGAACGAGAGAAGATTGTACACGAACAGGCGGTTAATCGTACTCGAAATCAACTGCACATAAACGTGTCCGGAAGCGATATACCGGAACCGATAGTGTCATTCGATCAGCTGTCCATTCCTACCGACCTAATTGTCAATTTGAAACGGGCCGGTTACAACGAGCCGACTACCATACAAAAACAATGCATTACAGTCATGCTGGAGGTAAACTTTCTCGTCCGTTTGTACCGAATTATATCGTAATTTTAGGGTAGGCAGGTGCTGGCCTGCGCACCGACCGGCTCGGGGAAAACGGCCGCCTTCGTTGTGCCCCTGATTCATCACCTGAAAGGTCCGCAGCGCAAAGGGTTTCGTGCGGTTATCGTTTGTCCGACGCGCGAATTGGCCAGGCAGACGCAACGTGAGTGCCTTCTGTTGTCTTTAGGTCGTGGATTTCGCATACATGTCATACACAAGAAGGCGCTCACTCAATACGCGCCGAAGAGTTCTCAAAAGTTTGGTAAGAGGTAAAAGACACCGCAGTAATTTGATTTTGCTCATCCAATTTAGACCTATTGGTGACGACCCCAAACAGCTTGTGCTACTTGCTGAAACAAGAGCCGCCGGTCATATCTCTGGCGAAGTAAGCTCCAAATATCCCCCGCTTCAGGTGTGGTTTATTCTTTGCGTTTGTAGCGTGGAGTGGCTGATTATTGACGAAGCGGATAAGCTTTTCGAGACTGGTCTTAATTCTTTTCGTGACCAAATGGAGGAGATCTTGTTGGCCTGTAGTAATAAGGATCGTAAAATAGGGATGTTTAGTGCCACTTTGACCACTTTCGTGGATGAGTGGTGCAAGGAAAATATGGCAGATTTTGTTCGGATAACTGTGGGGCAAAAGTGAGTACCTGTAATTTGTCATTTCCATGGATTACTGCTAGCTAGTAGTGGCCAAATTTGGCTCTTTTTTTGTAGTAACTTCCAAAGGCTAGTATGTATTGTTTATTGGGATTTTGTCACTTTTATGTAAATAGTTGCAGAAATGTTCTTTTTGAATCTTTGCTTTGGTAGGTAAGTGTTTGAGATTTAAATTTATAGGGTAAAGTAATGGACTCAAGAAAATTTGAAGAATTGTGTGATGTGTTGCCTATATGTAAGTATTTTCTCACAATTTTGTCTGATTTCGATTTGACATGTTTCTTGACTTGGCCGTCAATAAATATTATTATTATTATTTACTTTTTTTCCTCTATTTTTCTTGATGGGAGTTATTTTGAGCTACCTATTATTGATTTGTCAATGTTTAGTTCTTGTATGCGTTTGGACATGGATTTGGGTAGGGTCCGTGAAGTTAGCAGAACATTGAAGGCACAAATGTCGAGACTAGGTGGGTTGGTTAGTGCTTCGTTTGTGCCGGTTTGTGCCGTAAAAAGTTTGCCAGCAAAACATACCGTTTGGAAATTATTTCGATTTTTAAAGGTTCTGCTAATAGGCCAGTCATTGAGGATTTTTTCCTGGAAATAACTCGGGAAGTACAGAAATTTTGTAAAATTCATAAAATGCACAATTCTAAACTTGCCGCCGGGGCCGCCATCTTGCCAAGATGGCCGTCAAAATCGGTTTTCCGTCGATATCTCCAAAACTGCGCATTTTACGAGAAAATATGTGGCGAGCAAAATTAAAGAAACGAAAATTTCCTACAAAAAATGTAGCATATTTTCACTAAAGTTGGCCCTTACGCAGTAATTCAGAAATTTTTAATAACCAGTGGCGTATATTTTATCCAAATAATTCATTAATCATTTAATTAATTAATCAAATTGATTAACAATTAGTCTATGATCAATTAATTTTAGTCGTCGCAATCTTCTATGGTGATAGACTTGTCAATTTTTAAATTTTATTAGTTAAATCAATCAGTTATATTGTTATATTCAATTCCTTTTAGCTAACATTATGGACTTTATTTGTTTGGTATGTGATAATTTATGTTAATTTTACGTTAAGAGCGCCATACCTATAGCACGTGACCTTGCACGTGACTTCTCTAACCACACTGTCACGCTCCTACGCAAGAAAACCATGCATCACTGTTTTTCTTTCTATCCCTCTAATGACGACCACTTAGCACTTACTTTTGGTTACCTTCGTTAGGCGGCGCCACCTCACAGTCGCTTGAAAGGAAAATTTCTTTTTTCCATTAATAATAATAAAATATTGCCTTGAAAATTACTATAGCATGGAATGGTCAAAATAAACGCTTTCCATGATAGACTATGAATTAGAAATGACAGTAAAAAAATTTCAGATACCACCGTCAAAAAACCTTACGGTTTAAAGCTTTTAAATGAGTATTTGAAGTTGTTCTTTAATCAATTTCAATATCAATATCAAAAAATCAAAACTTAACTTTTCCGCACGGTAGCATCTGTTGAGACCCAGCACTTTCCTTTCATTGGATTTATTTCTCATACATCGCTTCGCCTTTTATTGAGCGAAGTATCTAATCGATTTGGCAATTAACTGCATGGATGTTCAATTTGATTTACCGTTAAAATTTCACAAAAATTGGTTACAAATAAGAAATTTACTTTTGCACATGCGCGAAAGAAGCTTTTGATATGTTTGAAATAATCGATCGATTTGCCTTTAGTAAAGGATGCTAATGTTAAAATTCCAGTAAGATCGGTCCATAAGTAACAAAGTTACTTTTGCGCATGCGCAGAAGATTACGGCCTACCAGTTTGGAAATTAATGGGTGCCTTCTCCACGCGGCAAGGACTGAAAAAATTACTCAATTTGTCCCATTCAATTTTGAGTTATCGTGCTAAAAACAACCCGGACAACGACAATGGACTTTTTTCTGTGATGAAAACAATACTTTACTTACCCATATATGGGTGTGGAAAAGTAATATCATAGATGATGCGATTTATATACACTTTATATACTACTTTAAACCACAGTAGGCGATGTGAAACAAACACTGATCTAGAAACTAAACTGTGTTGACATTGTAGCTGGAAAGATTTTAACAGACAAAGAGTCTGGCACAAGAAAGTAAATAAAAAAATTATAGAAACTTGAGAACGAAATAAAAGATTATTTTTCATAGCCTACTGTGACTTAAAGTAATAAAGTTTAAAAAAATCGCATAGAAAACCAATATCATTCATGGTGTGTTATATTTTTATCAGGCCGTGTGGCGCAATTCAGTTTAGGCTCGAGTGTGGTACTATGGGTCCCTGGTTCGAATCGGCGTTCGGGCATAGAGATTTGTAAATGTATAGTGGGTTGGGTTGGTAGAGCGACCTTGGATGAAACGTGCTGGGAGTTTTCACACATTCCCTTTTTTGGTCAAACTTTTTACTATACATTCCGGCACAAAGATAGCATTAACCCATGCGTGACAATAACATTATACTTAGTTTCAACAGTATAGCGACAAAAGTGTACAAGGTTTCCAGAACATCTAAAAATTGAGATAACCTTTAAAGGCAACTTTTTACCCCGCAAACCGGCACAAACGTAGCACTAACCAATCCATCTAGTCTCGAAATTTATGCCGACAAAAGTGTGCGAAGTTATAGCAAACATCTACAGACATCTAAAAATCGAAATAAGTTCTTCCAGGAAAATATTTTCCTGGCAATACAGCAGAAACCGGCACAAACGTAATTTGTGAAATATGTGTCGATATTCCTTTATCGACTGAAGAAGGAGAATCTGACGAATTCAAAGAAGCCAACGTTGATCCCGAAATAGGGATAAACGTATTCCGCAATGAAAACAGTGACATTAACGAACCGCCAGGTCCGTCAGGCCTGCGTAAATAGAGAATCTAATGTTACTTAAAATTAATTGATCATAGACTAATGATTAATCAATTTGCTTAATTAATTAAATGATTAATGAATTATTTTGATAAAATACACGCCATTGGTTATTAAAAATTTCTGCTTTTCTGCGCAAGGGCTAACTTTAGTGAAAATATGCTAACTACATTTTTTGTAGGAAATTTTCGCCTCTTTAATTTTGCTCACCACATATTTTCTCGTAAAATGCATAGTTTTGGAGATATCGGCGGAAAACCGCTTTTGACGGCCATCTTACCGACGGCCATCTTGGTAAGATGGCGGCCCCGGCGGCAAGTTTAGAATTGTGCATTTTATGAATTTTAGTTCTTCGCACTCAAGTATACAAAATTTCTGTACTTCCCGAGTTATTTCCAGGTAAAAATCCTCAATGACTGGCCTATTAGCAGAACCTCTAAAAATCGAAATAATTTCCAAACGGTATGTTTTGCTGGCAAACTTTTTACGGCACAAACCGGCACAAACGAAGCACTAACCAACCCACCTAGTGTCGACATTTGTGCCTTCAATGTTCTGCTAACTTCACGGACCCATTTGGGTATATTATTATTATTATTATTGATTTTTATAATTATTACACCAATTAGAGCGATAATACGCAAATCAGAATCAGATAAGAGAACCAAATACCACACACTTTTAGAAAACAATCATTTCTTCACTATTGGACTGGAGTCAAGTGGTGTGTGGGGACAGGAAGCACTGACCTTCACCAAACAATTAGGAAAATGGATACAAGAGATCTGTGGAGACCCAAAATCTACCACCTTCTCACGCCAGAAGATAGCCCTCGGAGGTTCAAAGAGAGAATGCCGAAATGATACTACAAAGTATACATGACAGTCAATTGATGTAATTATTATTATTATTATTATTATTGTTTCTGAATATTAAAATTTTTTTTTTTAATGTTTATTGTAACCGCACGTAAAATACTACCTGTCTTGAACCCAGTCTCTTAATTACCTTACTTAAAATGTTGATTGAATGCATTTTTCCCAGTCCCGGTCCCAATCACAAACTCTTCCCAACTTACCTGAGCCCGCCCCACGTTGCTGGGTGCCAAAAAGGTATCACCAATTTTTTTTTATAGAAACGCGGCGACGGACTTAGTCGACCAGCAACTCCTTTTCGTGGGCAACGAGGGGGGAAAACTCTTGGCATTCCGCGACATCGTCCGCAAAGGACTCCAGCCTCCCGTCCTCGTCTTCGTACAAAGCAAAGACAGAGCGCAACAGCTCTTCTCCGAACTAATCTTCGACGGCATCAACGTCGACGCCATTCACTCCGACAGGACTCAAACGCAGGTACAGTAGACCGATTGGTCTTAACTCCGCTGAGCGCGATCAAAATTGTAGAGGGACAACACCGTTCGATGCTTCCGCGAGGGGAAGATATGGGTGCTGATCTGTACCGAACTGATGGCGCGCGGGATAGATTTCAAAGGCGTCAATCTGGTTATAAATTACGACTTTCCTACGTCGGCCATTTCGTATATACACCGCGTGGGGCGCGCCGGTAGAGCGGGACGCTCCGGGAAGGCGATCACGTTTTTCACTCTGGAAGATACGGTCAACGTGCGAAGGTATGGCAACCGTGGAAGATATTTGTGAACTTGTCCGTTTCAGTATCGCGCACGTCATTCGCCAGTCCGGGTGCGAGGTTCCCGAGTATATGTTGACAATTAAAAAACGGTCGAAGCGGAAGTTGAAAAAGCTGAAGAGCAGGGCGCCGCGCCGAGAACTGATTAATACAACTCCGGCGTATCAGTTGGACAAGTTGTCGACGAACGGGTTGGTAACTGTACGAGCCGTTTGGAGCGTTTGGTTAACTTGTGTTTTAGGCGATACGTCAAACTGCCAAAAGGAGATGAGAAAAAGAAGAAGAAAGGAACTGTCAAAGGTGGCAACTTGAAATAAAGCGATTTTGCAAGTTATTGTTTTTCATTTAGCCTGCGCCGGTTTTTTTGTTAATTACTCCCCATGTTAACTATAGTTGTACCCCACGTTGAGGGCGCCTGGTAAGGTGAGGCGGCGCAGCCTTTGTACAAAACGGTAAAAAGGCGAGCGCTACTCGTATGGTGTTCTAAAAGAATTAAGATTAGCGTTCCCTACTACATTGTGAATAAAAACTAATGAAAATACCAATACTTTGTTTTCACCCTTAGTATTTGCAATGGACACAGTGTAGATAAAGTGAAACAAATGATTGTGCATTCTAATGACATCTGTCATTCTTATTTCAAATGCACGTTATAAAATGACGTTCAGAACATATGACAATTCTGTTTCTATAGAAACGATCACGACGGCAGAACCTAAGCTTATTATTTTTGACGTCCCTAAATTAAATTCAGAATTGTCAGAAGCTTTACAATGATTTATATCGGTTCTGCTCTAAAATAAAGTTTTGTATTATACACGACGATAAACGGAAACTAACCATCTCGTGAAAGTGTAAAAGTCTCTTTCACTCGATCCCTTTATCGTCTTGTATAGTAAATAACTATTGACTTGACTATTATGGGCAATGCTAGTCATCACAGTAACTTACTGGAAAACTTGCCAAATTCTTCCTGGGCTAAAGCATGGTTCGTAGTTAGTAATACTTTTAGGTTCGAGACTAAAAAATTGTTATTTTAGACAAATCTTCAACAGATGGCACTAGAAAATGGACATGGGGTACTACGATTGCCTCCCTACCATTACGTTTTCAATCCCATCGAAAATATATGGGAAATTGGCAACTAACACTATAAACCATACATTGGCCAGAACGCACTAATAAAGGATACCAACAAAATTATTTTAAATTGATGGTACAGAGAAATGAAATTTGTAGCCTCACGAACAATTTAGGCCAAAGTTTATGGCCCTTGTGACGTTCAATAGCCAGCTGGAACGATGCACGTTGATGTTCTTGGAAAAAATGTGATGTTCCTAGAATCTTGAAATTCGTGACCTAATTTTTGTAGTTAAGCAATTTTGCTTTTGATGTCTGTTAATTTTGTTCGTGTCGGCTATGCCAGGGTTTTTGTTCCGAAGAAGGTTTCCCTGACACCTCCTGATTGTGTACGTAATATATTTTACATGTTCTCGTCTTTTCTTACGCCCTAAATGAGTTTTTATTCAATAACCTATCCGATTTGTGTACTGTTATTACGAAAAAAACATTAAAACCATTTTTTCTTTATGTACGTCCAAAAATAATGTTCACCTTGTTAATAAAACATCGCCATATAGAGAACCAGTTTCAAATAAATACCGTGAATTAACTTGTGGTCTGTTTAGTATGAATCCTGCATCCATTCTCACTTTTATTTTATCACGTTAAGTTAATTGTAGCAAATCCCGGAGCAAAGTCATCCAATTTTGATGTTTTTTAATGTACATGCAATTTATCATTTTTTCCAAAATGATGTGTTTGGTGTTTTTTTGTACCAAATTCGACATTTTTACATCTGCATTTTAGATTAGGATTTATCTTCAGAGTTCGGGCATAGATGAATCGTATCTTGGTGTGTTTTCCATGATTTAATCTAAGAGTTTGAACCTGGTGCCATCTCTTTGCCCCGAACGGCCGAGCAACGGATACGTCCACCGAGGACGTTGACGAATGTACCACGGACGTAATTAATTAAGGTAAGTCGATTATAAATTTTTTTGTCACGTTGAAAGTTTGGCGGATTATAGCACTTTGAGTAGTCTATATTTCACTGGAACTGATGTGGACGTTGAAAATAAATGAAATTTTTCGCGTCACGGTAATTGCTGTATGCTTAAAGTACAGAATTTCCTTATTTGTCACCTCCTTGTCGATTATTTACACTCGCATTAGAATTTATCTACGCATCAGACACAATTTTTTTCCCGAGGGTAAAATTAGAACAGTTTATTGTAGTCGAGCAATATTTATCATTATATCAGCCGTCGGATAGCAACAATTTATTTAATACGGTGTATATATGTACTCGAAAAATCACTTCAGACGTTGTTAATCAATAAGTTACATAGTAAACTTAATTTACGTTTATCTGGAGTGCGAAATTTTTATCGTGTCTTTCGATACATTGAAATGGCGCCGCCAATTTCTTTAGGCGAGTTGAAATAGACCGCTATCAGCCGCCTCTCGCATTTTAGACGATCTAAATGATATTCGAGATACGTACACACTTACAAAAATTATTGGCAAAAGGAACTGAAACCAATTGCATTTATAGGTCCCTCTCTTGGAACTGGACTCGCTAATCAGAAGTTGTGATAACGGGAACCGGTACCGTTATTATTAGTGGTATTTATCTTTCTTGCGGTTTTTCCGTAAACGAGCGCGTTTATCACTTTGGCATCGATATTGGAACTTCTATTAATCACAATTCTCGTATTGATTTAGTTGAAAATACAAATCCGTAAAAACGCTTCAATGGAGCGCAGCTACAGACATGAAAATTAAAGAGAAACCACTCTAACAGCCAAAACAATAATATCTTATACAGGTAGGCAAGAGTCAGTAAAAAATAATGGCATACTGCGAAAGCAGAATCTTCACTGAAAGGAAGAAGTACAGCGAATGCGTTATAAAAGGAAAAGAAGGGATGGCATTACGTGCAGAGAGGTACAAGTGTCAAGACAAAGTATTGTAACGGCGAAACAAGGAACTATATAAACAAAACTCTACTACTAGAATAATTTACGTTTAAACTAGTGGATTACAAAGGAAATTCTCAGATGGCGTAAGAATGTGGAGTATACACGAGAATAAGAATTTAAAAAAGTGGAATTTAAATCATGAATTTCTGGGAAATATGACGTGTTTGTTCTAGAACATTCTGAAGCGTTCTTGAGCATTCTAGAACATTCTAGGAAGATTGTTGCTTACTGTATAAGCAAATCGAATTGTGTTTCGAGTTAGTTCCAATTTCAACGTCGAAGTAATAAATAGTTCGCACGGTTATAAATCAATTCATTCAAGACTGTTATAAATTTATTGTTTATTATTAACTAAATAAATAAATAAAGTACGTAATTAGATAAGGGAATGGGGGGATGACACGGAAGAGGAGGAAGGAACATAGGTCAGACGAGTGAAAGTAGAGGGAAAGAAAATGAGAATGATATACAACAAAGAAGGAATGAAAGATTTAAAAAATAAAATAGGCAATATGGGGGATGAAAGAAAGGAGAGGGGGTTAATATTGTAGCGAGATTTTAATGCCAGAACAGGAATTAAAGGAAAATGGGTAGAGACGGGAAGAGGAACACAAGATAGAAAATCAAGAGATAAGTAGTGCAACAAAGAGGATGAAGTGTTATTGGAATTATCAGAAAAGAGAAGTTGGAGAATTTTGAATGGAAATATGGAGGGAGACAGAGACGGGCAATTCACATACATGGGAGAAAGAGGGAAGTCGGTAGTATTCAACGAAAAAATACTGGAAGAAATAGATGAATTTAAGATAGGAGCAATAATAGAATCAACCGATGGAAGAGATCAAGAAATGAAAAGACGCACAGGCAAAGGGGGATACAGTTATGAAGCTGTATAGAAGGACACTAGAGGAACAAGGAGAAGAAATAGGAGCGAATACAGAGGAGGAATGGAATAATATAAACGAAAGTATTAAAAAAGCAATAACGTGGAAATAAATATGGAAGGGGAAGGGGAAGAAAAAGAAAGGAACAGGAGCGGTGGGACAAAAGGTGTATGAAGAGAAAAATAGATATAGAGAAAGAAAGAAGAGGGAAAATAGAGGAGATCGACGTGAGAAAACAGAGAAAAACATACAAAAGAAAATGTAACAAAAAGAAGGAGAACAGAAAGAATACGAGGTGCAAATCAGGGAAATAGAAATTGAAAAGCATTTTTGGAAGATGATCAACAGAGGAAAGTAGAAAAATAATACAAGGAAATGCAGATTGTGAGATAGAAGGAACAAGGAATCTGGGAAAAAGGTGCACTTCAAACTTTAAAGAAGGAAAGACGACCGTATATACCTTAATGATTCAACCTGTCCTTTCTTACTGAGCAGACCTCTCCACCACGGTTTGTGTTGAAAGGTCAAGACTATCAAAGTGCGAAATGTTATCAATTTCCTGTTTAGTGAACTTCTTCATTCCGATAAACCTACGGACAAATCGATTAAGATAAAAGATTAAATTTCGCATAATTTGCCGATCAGTCAGTTCCAAATTGTTGAAAAAGTTCCCGAATCTCCATAGTTATTATGAGATTTCAGGTGCGTGATCTATACAAGGTGTTTCCGACTGTAAATGCCTTTGAAATTAAGCTAATTCAATATTTACGAAGTCGTTGAAACGGATTATCTATGAACAAGTGGATCTTGAAAAACGTCTATTAATATAGTTTCGATGAGTGATTTTTCAGTTTTTCAAATTTCACACTACTAAACCTATAATAAAAAACCGAATGATGATTATACCATTATCGGCAATAAATTCAGATTAAGATAGTGCAGCGGAAAGATGACACATCAATTAACAAAGGTACTCGGTTAATTTGCGTGGCGTTTAGCATCACTTTTGCAGCTTATTTTTAGATTTCAGCCTCATATGATTGCTTCATTGCTAATTAACTCAGATTCATTGACATCTAAATTAGTCATATCATTTACACTCTTTTTTATCATTTTTATACGGCGCCAACTTCTCTCCTTCTCTAGTTCTTGAATATTTTCATCTGCTTGTAACGGTAGATGCGAGTGGCATCAATTAATTCAGGGTTCTTCGTTCTAATACTTCTGATCTCTTCATCAACGGGAAATACCTTATGCCGATGGACAGGTACTGAAGATATCAAATTTACCTATAGAAAAGTGATCTAAGGGTGGGGTCGCTAACCCCTATTTTGCGGAAACTGGCGCTGGTTGAAGCGGAAGAAGAAACTGAAATCAAAAAAATTATAATTTTGATGAAAAGAG